GGTTGGAGGCCATTGCTACTAGTAACAAGAAGCTACTAGGTTGGAGGCCATCGCTACTAGAGTGGAGGCCATTACTGCTAGTAACAAGAAGCTAGTAGGTCGGAGGCTAGTAACAAGAAACTACTAGGTTGGAGGCCATCGTTACCAGGGTGGAGGCCATTACTGCTAGTAACAAGAAGCTACCAGGTTGGAGGCCATCGCTATTAGGTTGGAGGCCATCGCTACCAGTAACAAGAAGCTACTAGGTTGGAGGCCATCGCTATTAGGTTGGAGGCCACTACTGCTAGTAACAAGAAGCTACTAGGTTGGAGGCCATCTCTACTGGGGTGGAAGCCATTACTACCAGTAACAAGAAGCTACTAGGTTGGAGGCCATCGCTATTTGGTTGGAGGCCCTTACTGCTAGCAACAAGAAGCTATTAGGTTGGAGGCCATCGCTATTAGGTTGGAGGCCATCGCTATTAGGTTGGAGGCCATTGCTACTATAGTAACAAGAAGCTACTAGGTTGGAGGCCATCGCTACTAGGGTGGAGGCCATTACTGCTAGTAACAAGAAGCTACTAGGACTACTACTAGTAACAAGAATCTTTTAGGTTGGAGGCATCGCTATTAGGTTGGAAGCCATTGCTACTAGTAACAAGAAGCTACTAGGTTGGAGGTCATCGCTACTAGGGTGGAGGCGATTACTGCTAACAGCAAGAAGCTACTAGGTTGGAGGTCATCGCTACTAGGGTGGAGGCCATTACTGCTACTAACAAGAAGCTACTAGGTTGGAGGCCATGGCTATTAGGTTGGAGGCCATTGCTACTATTGTAACAAGAAGCTACTAGGTTGGAGGCCATCGCTACTAGGGTGGAGGCCATTACTGCTACTAACAAGAAGCTACTAGGTTGGAGGCCGTGGCTATTAGGTTGGAGGCCATTGCTACTAGTAACAAGAAGCTACTAGGTTGGAGGCCATCGTTACCAGGGTGGAGCCCATTACTGCTAGTAACAAGAAGCTACCAGGTTGGAGGCCATCGCTATTAGGTTGGGGGCCATCGCTACTAGTAACAAGGAGCTACTAGGTTGGAGGCCATCGCTACTAGGGTGGAGGCCATTCCTGCTAATAGCAAGAGCAAGAAGCTACAAGGTTGGATGCGATCGCTACTAGGGTGGAGGCCACTACTGCTAGTAACAAGAAGCTACTAGGTTGGAGGCCATCGCTATTGGGTTGGAGGCCATTGCTACTAGTAACAAGAAGCTACTAGGTTGGAGGCCATCGCTACTAGGGTGGAGGCCATTACTGCTAGTAACAAGAAGCTACTAGGTTGGAGGCCATCGCTATTAGGTTGGAGGCCATTGCTACTAGTAACAAGAAGCTACTAGGTTGGAGGCCATCGTTACTAGGCTGGAGGCCATTACTACAAGCAACAAGAAGCTTTCATATCCACGCCCTTTCTCGTTCCAAGGCTCCGAGCGAAAGGAGGAGAAGAAGCGTAGCCGCAGCCGGAAGCGCAGCCGCAGCCGAAAGCGGTGCGCTGCTCTGTCTGTTTTGGGTGTGTCGGTCATTGGGGCGAAGAAGAGCAGTTGAAGTGGATAGTCCTGGATGATGAAGAAAGTGGAGAGAGGTTTTTCTTTTGGAGAAGGTGGGTTTTCTTGACGGGTCAAGATCCATAAAATGGAGCAAAGTAGGTTGTTCACAACTCAAGAGCACACAGAAGAGTACAGAAAACTCATAGATGTGTCCGACGATTTTCTACAGTGGTCCACTGAACTGTGGGAATTTTGTTGTTTGCAACTTTTTCTCGCGCGCCTTTCTCCAGGAGCCGCAGCCGGCGACGGCGCCGGGTGGTGCAGGAAGTGGAGCTCACCACACAAGAGCTGCTTTGATGTACTAGAACAGGGTGGCCAGTTGATTGCCAGTGTCGCAAAACCACAGCAAGACTGCCTGACCATGGACATATATGAACATACACGAATAGCCAAAGTTTGGTTTTGGGATTTGGAACAGAATGCAATCGAATTACATATGTGCCCACCAACATGCACTGCTTCTTTGACTCCGGCCCAAGTTATGTTTCTTCCCCCTTAGAAATCTTATACCAACAAAGGACTTTCCTTTGACAACACCGACGCACATTTGTCATGTGCAGTCGCTCTCGCATTTGACTCCCTTCTGTTTGGTTTCACACTCGGACCGACACCACGGCATGTTTCTTTGGCCAAGGGAGATCCTCATCACAGACCCGGATGGGCAAAAAGTGGAGCCCGTCGCCTTCAACACCTTCGACGAATGTCCCTTCCCTGACGAGATCCGGGACGAGGTGGGACGAGAGTAGCCTGTCTCGGCTACTGTAGCACGGCCTGGTGGGTTTGGGTTTTGGACCGCCCTGAGAGAAGTGTCAGGTCATGTTCCCTGCTATTTTGGGCGGGAATGTGCCGAGTTTCTTTGGGAGGGTTTGGTTGCATAGGACAGAGGTGTCAGACCTTGAAGACAAAGAGGGTGATTTGTCTCCAATCAAGGGTTCCATTCCCATTCATTGAATTGAAGTTGCAATTGGAATTCCTGTTTGTTCTGGCGCATTTGGGCAGATCCACCTAAAAAGGACATTTTGGCTCTCTTGGAGCAGCAGTACTCCTTGGGAGGAAGTTGTTTGGGGAGTGTCAGAATATGAGCAGGCTACAGAGCAGAGGTAAGTACTGTAGTTTTTTAATAGTTTTTTTCCTTTGAACCATATGCGCTGGACATGGACCTTCCTTGTTTCGAGAGTAACATCACACAAATCCAGCACCATGTATGTTGGACACCTCAAATCCGCAGATTTTCACGGGGGCAGGTGAAGCGGTCGGGCTTTGCTAAGCCCAGCCCCATCCAGATGTACTCCTGGCCGCTGGCGGTGCAGGGGAAGGAGAAGTGTGAGTTGAAGGATAGTGTGTGAAGGGAGGGACCCAAACCAAGAGGGACTGCAGGGGAAATGGTGCTTGGGATATGGTGCTTATAGTGTTCTCCAAGGTTTTGAAGGTTCCATTGAATTGGACTGACTGTATGGTGTCACCAACAACTTAGTTTGATTGTCCAAGGTGGTCCCTCCCCAGCTTGTCCACTGATAGCCGCAGGCATGAGCTTGCCAGCTTGTGGTTCCGACCACCTGCTTTGGTCAAGATCTGTAGGCTTCTCAGGGTGAACTCTCCGGGCCTTCCGCAGGACATCATTGGAATTGCCACCACCGGGAGCGGAAAGACCGTGGCCTTCCTCTTCCCGGCCTTCAAGCACCAAGGATGCCATGGGTCTGGGATCGTACTGTACGGTAGGTGGGTTGGGACTTGCCGGCTTGCCTGCCTAGTCGCTTGATCAGCTGGACTCTTGATCTTGGACTGATCATTTCCCCATTCATTCAGCCCAAAGAGCAGTTGACTCTGACTGTGCCACACTAATGACTGGCACTTGCAACTGACGTGCAAATCCTGATATTGCGAAAGGGTGAGTATAGAAAAACAGGACTTAATGTACTTACATATTCCTTTTTGTTCCAATGGCCACGGGTGTCATTCTTGCTGTTAGGTAGCATGGTAGTGGAAAGATATTCAGAAGGCCGCCATATGATCAATCACAGCAAAAGGACCAATACAGCCAATTGCTTGTTCCTACCAATTTGACATCGTTGCAGACGTTGCAGACTGCCAATGAACTTATATATACAATTGAAACTTTGGCTGTATTTTTCCCATGGCTTCTAAGTGTCACCATCCTCAGAAACATTTGAGCAACCTTTTTTGTTAGTATTGTTGATCGGGAGAGTCTCCTCTACCACCCCGAGTCAGCCCATAGCATTCATCCCTTTGAAGACCTTGTTTGGTGCTTGGTGACCGTGTTACCACAGGGAAGTCCGAAAGTCCCCAATGGGATCCTCAGCGGTCCAGATCTTGTATCCATTCTGGTTCTCTCGGTTGGTTTTCAACTCTGAGACAACACAAAAAAAAGAGTGGAAACAGATCGGAGAACATGTTCCAATTTTCAAGGTTTCTTCAGAGATGGTTTCAGGAGATTTCAGGATCCTAACCTCGACGCCCTTGACGCCCAGGTACATCATGGAGACGAATGCCAAGGCGGACAATCCCACTTTGCTTTGCCTGTCTCCTACACGCGAGCTTGCGGTGCAAGTGGAAAATGAGGCCCACAAATTCGGCCCCCTGGTCTGCCAGGTGTGAGCTGCTGTGCAAGGTCTGGGTTTACTGTTACAAGGGCAGATGGGGAAGAACAGATCAAGATTCTTGGAAGCCCCCACAGGCTGAACCCAAAGCCCTTGGTGTGCTGGATGTTGTGCCATTTGGACATGGACGGCAATGGCCGCAACCTATCGCACAACACGGGGGAAGACCTTGGCGGCACACGTGGCAAACGTCGCTTCTATTTCTCAGTTGACCTTTGGGGATTCACCTGAAGGCTCAAACTCTGTTACTCCACCTGCCAATGGATGTTTCGCCCACCATACACACCCCTCACCCACTTTGTGTCAGACATGAAGATCAATCCCCTTGGAACCCGACCGTCACGCATCTTCGGGTCCTTTCCGGGGTCGTCGGACGCGGTGGCTTCGACGCCCTGGACGCCCGGGACGCCCCAAGTTTTTTGCTTTTATTTTGTTTTAATTCTAATAGCTTCTTGTTACTACTAGTATGGCACCTGTTACTACTAGCGTGGCACTTGTCACTAGTAGCTTAGGCAAACACGCCCCAAGGCAAACACTGTGGCATCGTTACGGTGTGTGTCTATGGAGGCGACGCGGCCGGGAAACGCAAGCTGGGGAGTAGCCGACCGTCACGGACGCATGTGGCCAAGCCGGTGTTGAGGGACTTGGGACCACAGAGCCAAAGTTGATCCCCATATTCCCTCAGGAACAGCGGGAGTTCATGGGAGAATCGTAGTCTGTCGGGTTGTTGGGTGCAGCGCAAAGGTTTAGACATGTTTAATTGAAGCAGCTCTCCAGTCCGGACTCCATGTCTTCGACTTCGCAAGTGTTGTTGATTGTGATTTGTTCAACATGTACGTAAGATGATGGACATGTTGGAACAGTTGAAACAGTTGTTCTCCATGATTGGCCGTTTCGGTGTAGCTCTGTTGGATCATCCATCTGCCAGGTGTGGGCAACAAGAGGGATCAGGGTCGTGACCTGGCCAAGGGCTGCCATTGTTTGGTCGCCACACCAGGCAGTGGGGATGGGGGCTGCCATTGTGAATCTGAAGGATTACAACGCTGAAAACTAACATGGACCCTGAACAGCACTGGTTTGTAGATTTTGTAGGAAATCAGTCTTTCAGGAAGCCGTTCTCAGAATCCATGTTCGTTTTCGGGAATGTAGCCTTTATGTCATTTTGAACTCCGCAGTTATGTGGATGATTTGGTACCCTTTGAACCAGTTGGTTCTCAGTTCAAGCGATGTTTGGGCTGCTTGTTGGAGACTTGAGATCCAGGTTTAAGCGGGCATGCAACACCTGGAGACTTCAGTTCACAAAAGGTTGGAGGAAACACTTCCCTCCTTGCGAGCTGGGCAGAGACCCCCTTGTAGATCAAGGATGATCAAGGATGATCCTTACCACCTGGTGTTTTCCAAGGCGCTTCCACGGACCGTAGGTTGGTCGTCCGGGTGTCTCCGGAGTTCTTTGGCGTCCGGCGCTGCCAGGGCGGCTGAACGATTTCGTCGAAGGGAAGGAGGTGAGCTTGGCCAACGTCTCCAAGTTGGTGGTGGATGAAGCCGATCGAATGCTGGAGCCTGGGCAGGTCAATGACCCAGGTCAGTGACCGAGCTCTGGTCCTTGGGTTGGAGCAAATCATTCTTCCCTACCACTGGGCTCTTGAGGGTTTTTTCCAGAACTTTTGGACATTCTTGGTTCTTCCAACCTTCTCGCTTTGCGAAGCCGCGACCCGGGGAGACATCCACTCGCCTCCATGCATGTTCACGAACTAAATGGTGTTCACCAACTGCATGGGGTTTGTACTAGAATGGTTATATACCCCAAGCAAACCAGGGGATGTCTACTTAGTCTACTTTGACATCGTTTTACTGTTCCCAGAAGCTTTGGAGAGGTCTCCAGTGCTTTCCAGTGCCCTGGACCTGTCCAGTGTTTCCCCGATGTGGGCTGTCGAGGACATGGGCTTCGAGCCTCAGATCCGAAAGGCTGTGAAAGAGGTGAAGGACGACGGACACCCACCGGGTGCGGGGTTGTTTTTGTTCACCAAAGGAGGCTGGAACATGATGGGACCACTTGGAGTGGCTGGGAGGTTGATGCTTGGAAGTGGAGGGTCAGACTTCCATCGCTTTGCTTGTGAAGGTTTTAGGAAAATCTGTGTTTTGCTTGGTGTGCTCGTTGTTGTCTGGAGAACGGCCATGCACACGGCACACGTGTACCATGACTGATTCTCATACACGTTGAGGTCGGTGAGGTGTGACCACCTGCAGGGTCTCCAGGGTCACCTGCAGAACGAAGGAAGAAAACAGAGCGACTCAAAAACGGGCGGCCGAACTGTTCGGCGATCTTCACGTACCGGGTAGAAGGTGGAAACCAAACACTAACATAGAAACTGGATGAAACTGGCAGATGAAACATGACCAGACCTTCCCATACCATTTCGAAGATCTCTCATCGGACAGCGTTTCGACCCTCGAACAGGAAGTCACACAGCGGCAGACCCTCTTCTTCACCGCCACATGGAATACCAATGTTCAGAAGATCGCCAGTGACTTTGTGAACAGGCCCTATCAGGTGCCGGTTTTGGGCGGTTTTCGGCAGATATTCGAAGCGCCTACCCGGTTGTTGAGGACCCCTGCCATCAAATGAATTAGAACATATTAGAACACGAAACTATATTGTAAAAGGATGTAAGAGGAGTGGTGCCTGTAGATGACTGCGTGCCAACTTCCAACAATTTGCTTGGAAATTGATGTCATCGATGTACAGAAGCAGCTAGTAGACTTGAGGATTCGTAGAACATGCCGATGGACAGATGGACATGTTTCGATCTTCTAAGTGAAGGCTGAGATCTGGGCTAAGGTCCCACACAGGTTTCAAGCTTCCCAGGTCGTGGAAGTGAGACAGACAGAGAGAGAGAGAGAGAGGGACAAGAAACGGTGTTCCTGTTCAAGGCTGTTGGGGTCGCCAATTCTCGCCCCAAATATCACTATGGCCACTCTCTCTCTCTCTATCTGTTGTGGTTGTCTCTCTTCATTGATATTTATAATTCTTTTTCTATGTATTATAAGTTTTCGTTCTATAATGTTCGATATGTGTGGAGTGTAGCCTCATGTCTCATCTTGTGAATAACATGCGACGGAACCCATGATCTCCTCCTCCAGATGAAGACTCAACCAAAAGCGTATTGTGGACATCGCCAGGTGAAGATTGGAAGCTCGGAGCAGCTGAAGGCTTCGGAGAACATCAAGCAGGTGGTGAAGATTGTGGATCCGGACAAGAAGGTCCGCCATTTGACCAAGCTCTTCCTGGAATATGCTGCTGGGAGAAAAGAATCATTGCAGTCAGGGGAAATGAAGAGGTGGGTAGACTCCGTAGACTTTGTGGGGATTGAAGGTTGCGTGGTTTGGGGCGGTGGATCGATTTGGGTTTTGCTTACGTTGGAGATGGATCCTTTTAACCACAACATGGAGGCTTCATAGGTCGATTCGATGCATTGCAGATCTGTTGGATTTTGATTTGCACGATCCCGCCACGCACTTGGAAGAGATGGGAGGCCTAAAGAGGAGGGGAGGCGCTGGCCCTCCGGAGGGCGGAAGTGGATCAGCGACCTCCGACTCTGACGCCCATGGTTTTGCCAACGGCATGAAAGAGAACCACGGGGCATGATCAGCTGTCCTGGGAATGCACGGGGCATGTCATCAACTGAGGATATCTCCGAGAAGGGCCGGGGTGAAAACCGAGCCATGATTTTCTGCAACACGAAGAAGACCTGCGAGCAGCTGGAAGATGGCCTGAACCGTGCGCGGGTGCGATGTGATTCCATCCATGGTGACAAGGCCCGATGCGAAGGGTCGATGAGTCGAGGAAGGGACAGGTTTAGGGACAGGAAGTGTTTGGATGAGGAAGTGAAAAGACTGTCCCGTTCGTGGTTCCAGAGCGTTTTGAATCAAAGAGCGTTTTGAGTTCTCATTTTCTTGGCTTTGAGATCAGTGGACTTCACTACAGTTTGTGTGCTGGAATCTTTGTCTTTTGACCTTGCAGCAAGGAGCAGAAGGATCGCGAGCGGGCTTTGAATGACCTGCGCGATGGCTACACCAAGATCATCTGCGCCACAGTCAGGGGCTTAGTGACTTAGTGCCCATAGCTGGGAGCCCAGATGATGTTGGTATGCCAGACCATAGCAAGGCGATTGCGGTTTGTGCCATAGACACAAAGAGCAGTAGTAAGGCCAGGAGCCCCTAGTAGCGTCCTTGCTCCTAGTAGCGATGCCATTTGTTCCCAGTAGCGTCCTTGCTCCTAGTAGTAGGGCCAGGAGCCCCTAGTAGCTTCTTGCTCCTAGGACAAGCTCAGCTGGCCGTGACCCAGACCTCAAGATGTCGGTGCACACGTCGAATGAAATGCAATCGCCTTGCTGAGGATGTGGCTGCCCGTGGTCTTGACGTGAAAGGCGTAACCTTAGTCATCAACTACGACCCCCCGAAGAATGCGGAGGAGGGGTGCCAACTTCCATGAAAGCGTGAGTTTTGCATGAGAGCACGTTGAGGTTTTGGATGGTTTGGAGGGGAGAACACATAGTTCAAGATGTTAGAATCAAATAGAAGCAACATACAGGGTTCACCCACTTCATGGTTTGGGACTTCATAATAGAATCCACCTTCAGAATCCACCTTCCCCCTTGCTCCTTCCATCGCCGGTGGGGGGTACTACGGGCACCGGGCCCGGCCGTTCCAGGACTATGTCCACCGGATCGGGCGGACAGGTCGAGCGGGGATGAAGGGCCACTTGGAGTGCTGAAGGGTGATGTCTTTTCAGTTACTAGTAGCGTCCTTGCTCCTAGTAGTAAGGCCAGGAGCCCCTAGTAGAGCCCTTGCTTGCGATGCCCTTTGTTCTTAGTAGCTTCTTGTTACTAGTAAGAATGCTCCTAGTAGCGATGCCAGGAGCCCCTAGTAGCTTCTTGTATCTTCTTGTTGTCACTGCTTGTGGTTGTTTCAACAAGGAAAATATTGTCACTCCCCCGACGTGTCCATTTTCTTGGGGGGTTGATGTTTGTTTCGCGAAATGGACAAATCACGAAGCATTCGACTACAACCACTCAGACGATCCACGGTTTTTTGGCCCCTGCAAATTCGGAGGGAATGTCGGTGAATGGAGGTCGTTACTACAAGGAACTCGAACAGAAAGGGACGCGACCTGTCCAAGAAGTGGATGAAACCTTTACCTGATAGGGATCCTCAGGGTACAAGAACCATCTATGTTCCTCCTCCCCACCCACTTAAGCATACTCAAGGCGTTTTTTTGATCCAACAGGCTTGGGATGGATTTTCAACGTTAAATATATGATATGACATTATGTTAGCAATCCTCGAACATCTTCAAACTTGAAACCCACGAATGTGATGGATGTTCTTGAGAGGCCTACAGGAAGTGGTTTTCTAGGTTGAAGACCATGAGCAGAACCTGACAAGCACGCCAGCAAGTGCCTTGTAGGCCGTCCATCCAAGGTACTGCAGTCACCTTCCTGACAGATCGGGATGACTTTCAAGCTCGTCAAATCAAGTCAGTGATGCTGCGGAACCACCAAGAGATCCCCCGAGAATTGCAGGCGCTCTCCGATGGCACCCTCCCCCGGC